ACACATCTACACACACGGGTGGGCAATCTCAGCAGTCGGAAGCTGAGCGGCATGCACATCAACAGGGAGTGGGTACCATTTCTACATCTCAAGAGCAATGCTCTACCAGATTTTGAGGTAGTCCAGTCTTAGGATTACTGCACATACTAGGTTTAGATTACTTAAAGCAAATCTCAGCTTTGAAAATACAGGTTTTATCTAATATTCGACTTTGATTCAAACATTTTGACCAAGGCAAGCCCTATTTTAGTAGGTGAATAAAAAGTTTTAGGGGTATTCCCATTAAGCATTTGAGAGAAAAGCTCAAAAAGCCAACGAAGACAAAAACAAAAGCCAAAAAGAGTATTACTCTCAGGAATGATTCTTAGAAGGAAAATGTACATTTGGGATAAAAGGCCTAAGCAATGTAGCAAAGATAGCATAAAACTTACCTGATTTAACCAATCTGAATTAAGCTTCTAAGGAAAAAGGCAGACTGAAAACTCCCCAGAAAACGGTTCACAATTTCCTGCATCTTACTGCCTGCATGAAATTAGAAATCTTAGGCAAATCTAGTGTGGTTTAAGCACCAAGCTTTCTTGATTCACTAGCCAAATATTTTCTGAAACTGGCTGAAATCAACTCAGACAGAAGTGATGGAGCTAGAACTGCTCCAGTGAGACTTTCCGCAGGTATAATGTCTGCCTTCAAATGATCCGATGATAATGTAGGACAGACAGATGGACACACATGCACACGTTACCTCCAGCTGTAGTTAAAACATGAAACCCTGTGTCTGAGTGTGTGTATGCCACATGTGGAAGCCAGGAGTATGTCAGATCCTCTGGGGCTGGAGCTACAAGTAGTGCTAGGGACAGGACTCTGCTCCTCTGGAGAGTAGGAAATACTTTTAGCCAATAAGCCATCTCTCTAGCCTCCTCCCTGCCTTTTAACATAGAGTCTCATGTAGACCAGGCTAGCCTACAATTCACTGTATGTATGCTACTAAATCTGAGTGTGATCTCCTGATTCTCCTGCCTTTACTTCCTAAGGGCAGGGATTGAAGGCATGAGCCAAACATGAATGGCTGAATATGTTTAAATGACAATAAAGAACAACTTTTGGAGAGACTAGAAAGACCAACTTGAAAGGAAGAGAAAAGACAGTATAGGTGAGATTAGGAGCTGAGTAAGATGCTGTGTAAACATGAAGACCTGAGTTCAAATCTCCAGAACCAGACATATAAACTTCAGACATGGTAGTGCATGTCTGTAATCCTATCACTCCTATGGCACGGGACTGAAGGCCAAGTCAAAAGGGCCTTGGCGTTCTCAAGCCACCAGCCTATGTACTCAGCAACAAAGGTGTAAGCAAGGACCAAGACCTGCAGAGGGTTGTTCTCTGATCCCATATGTGCTGCAGCATGCAGGTCCCTGCACTCACACATACAAATGCTCAGGGCACACACTGATACACACACAGACACAACCACATAGCTATGCAAAATTTTAAAATACCCAAACAAATGAACAAAGCAAAACAAAACAAAACTCCAAACTAAATAACCCTACAAACTCAAAACTAAGGCAGCCATAGGTGCTTTCTGAATATTAAACCAACAAGTCTACAATCATGGCAGCCAGAATAGCCTCTTTGCCCAAATGACATGTGTACTCCTGAGAGTGACATCACCTATAAATGTGATACAAATCTTTACTTTTCCTCCTCATTTAGAAGGTAAGAGACAGGTGGGAAGATGGGTCAGTAGTTCAGAGTACTTGTTGCTCTTGCACAGGACTTGGGTTGGTTCTGAGCACCCACATGGTATCAAACAACCATCCTTAACTCTTAAATTCCAGGGGATCCTATGACCTTTGCTGGCCTTCTCAGGCAACTACCATGCATGTGGTACACATACATACATAAAATAAATTCTATAAATAAATAAGGAAATAGATAAATCCTGAGAGGGTGATGTCCTGGTTAGTGTTTTCTCAACCTGACACTGAGTCATCTGGGAAAAGAAGCATCAATTGAAAAACTGCCTTCATCGGATTGCCTCTAGGTAGGTCTCCGGCAGTTTCTCCATTAATTAATGATGTGGGAGGGCACACGTGGGTAGTGCCCCCCCCCCCCCGGCAAGTGTTCCTGGGTGGTATAAAAAAGCAGGCTGGACAAGCCATGGAGAACAAGTCAGTGACCATCAGTCCTGCATGACTTCTGCTTCAGTTCCTGTCCTGACTTCCCTCTATGATGGACTGAAGCTGTAAATGAAATAGCCCCTTTCCCCCTCAGGGTGGTTTTGGTTAGTAATTTATCACAGCAGCAGAAAGCCAACTGAGTTAGGTCATAGCTCAGTGGAAAGAACGTGCCTTCCATGCCTCGGGCTCTGGATTCCATCTCTGACCTTGAAGGTGGGGGCTAGGATGGCACACACACTTTCCATCCATCACTCAGGAGGAGAGGGCAGAGGGATCTCTGTGAGTTCAAGACCAGCCTGGGCCATACAGTGAAGTAAACTTAAATAGCTCTTAGTCTTCTTGGTCTAAGTGGTCAGATCCTTTCTGTCTTGGTCTAGGAATAGAGCTCTGTAACAGAGTACCACCCACAAAATGCAAAGCCCTGGGCTCAATTTCCACCATGGCAAAAAACAAACAACAAAACTCTGCCTCTTCTCTCCTTTTTTTTTTTTAATTAATTTTTTAAAAATATGTTTTTAAAGATGCTCTCACACTGTAGGCCAGGATGGCCTCAAACCCACAGCAATCTGGTGGCTTCCGTTTCCTGAGAGCTGTGATTGCAGGTGCATGTTACTCTACCTGGTTCTTGTCTATACCTCTTCTCGTCTACTCAAGTCTTCCTTCTCTGTGTGTCAGCATATGGCATTAACATTTCCCAAGCCCGAGTGAACTGTAAAGCTGTGGGCCTCTGGCTGATCTGAGTATAAGCTATACAATTTCTTGTGCACAATAGTTATCCTATTTCCTTGGCTGATTTGAAGGCCTTAAAGGATCTTTAAAGATTTAAAACAAACAAACAAACAACAACAAAACCTTTCTAGTACTCTCTCTCTGTATTTGCCTGGCAAGTGGATAACATATTTTTTGCCTTTCCAGATTCTATTAGAGCAGATTTAGGTTCACAGCAAAACTAATGGAAAGTAGTCAAGATTTCTCCAGTTCCAGAGTCTCTTACCAGCGCACAGGCAGAGCCTCCCTCATTACCAATGGCTGCCATGGAAGCAGTCTATAGATGATGAACCTACATGGATACATCATCACCCACAGCATGTATGACGGTAGAATAAATGTACCATGATGCTTACACATCACTGTAGAACCAGACAGGAGGTTCCCCTGCCCTAGAGCCCTCTGTGCTATATTTCATCAACCCTTTATTCCACACACACACAATCTTCTAAAGATACATCAAAGGCTACAAGGCACTCGTCTCTGCATCAGCATAAACAGAACCAAATGAAATTAGGAATTAAGTGTCTCCTGTAGCAGATAGCTCTGAGAGCTGGAGGAGAGGCGTAACACAGGGAAAACACTGTGACTACTTACCCTTGCTCTCAAAACATACTTCAAACATGTCATAGTCTTCCGTGGTAAAGGCAAACTTCCCCTTAGTTGCATCCTCTTTGGCATACAGAATATGGCCAGCAGAATCTGTTATCTAAAGGAGAAATAAAGAACAGTTACTTAATAAAGAACTCTGAGGAAGGGCAATTATAGAAACTGGGGAGGCATATAACATAAACAGAGAGCCAGGGGTTAGGGATGTTGCTGTAATTCCAGCTGCAAGGGGATCTTAGGCCTCTCAAGCACCTGAACATGAACACACACACAAACATGTACACATATGCACACACACATATACACACAGAGACACACATGTACCTGTGCACTCTCTCTCATACACATACATACAGTCAATTAAAAATAAAAAATGAATCTTAGACACAGAGGATAAACCAGACTTTCTCTTCAAGAAGACATCTTTGTCATTTACACAAATGTTGACTTGTTTCTTGGAGGGGCATAGCAGTCCTCCAAACTTTTAAGTGCTCCATTATTAAAGGATCACCTACAAGAACAAATGAAGGACATACCTTGGTGAGTGGCCATATCTAACGTACGGAGATGACCACAGCGATTTGAGGGGCCAGATCCCAGGCCACAGGCGTGCACATGGTCAGTCTCACTTAAGAGAGGAAGCTACTTTGCAATGTGAAACTCAAAAAGCAGTAGCTTCCTGACATTAAACTCAAGATGCTAATGTCATCTGTTAAGTGGAATTCTTTTATAGGTGGAAAGGGATTTTTTAAAAGACAAAGTCTCCCTACCTAGCCCTGGAATTTACTACATAAACAGACTGGCCTTGAACTCAGAGAGATCTGCCAGTCTGTAAGTGCTGAAATTAAAGGTATATACCACCATACCCAGTCTAGAGGTGAAATCTTAAAAGTAAAATTGAGTAGCACACATTCAGACCTTTCTGTTGACACGTAGCCTAGGCTGTCCCTGAATCTGTTATGTAGCAGATGATGACCTTCAGTTCTTGATCCTCCTACCTCTTCAACTTATATACTATAGTACTAAATATAGGCATTGAGCTCATATGCACAGCCTATTTAAGCACTTATATACAAAAGTATTCATGCCATTATTATTTTAAATGTGTTTAGTATGTTGTAAAAGTTTACCATTTTTAGCCATTTTCCAAAGAAATTGTGATTCAGCACTTTACTTATTTGATAGGGTCTCACTATACAATCCTGGCTATACAGATCAGGTAGATCTTAAATTCACAGCGATCCACCTGGCTGCCTCCAGAGTACTGGAACTAAACGCATGTGCCACCAACCTGGTCCAACACACTCTTCATATGTGTTAAGTGGATAAACTAAAACACCTTAATAATTTAAAAACAAAAAACAAAACTATTTAGTTGGGTGTGGTGGCACATGTCTTCAGTCCCAGCAGGGAAATCTCTGTGAGTTCAAGACCAGCCTGGTCTACATAGTGAATTCCAGGACATCAAGGGCTATACAGAGAGACCTTGTGAAAAAACAAAAAACAAAACTTATTCATTTGAATGTATATGGGTGGTTTGCCTGCATGTATGAACTCAAAGGATGAACATCAACCAAGGGAAGAAGAGAGGTAAAGAGATTCAGAGCTGCTGACAGTTCTCTCAAATGGTTATAGGCCTGCTCATCTGCATTCAGACCTTAGATCAGCAGGCAGCCACATGGTAACGATCTTGGCAAAGTGGCCCCTAAACATTCATTAAAGTCTCTGTTCAGGGGATATTTTTCCTGAAAAATCAATTAAGGAAAAAAGCAAGCAAGCAAACACACAAACTGTTTGATAGCCCTGACTGTACACATATTATATGGCAAAAAGGTCTGGAAGCAAATCAAACCCCAAACTAAGATAGCCAGCCTGGTACCAGGCTTCCTTTCTTGAGCATCAGTTCACCCACGCAGAAAGCACTCAGTTCCCTACAGCCAGCCTCCCAAAGCACACTGACAACATACAAGGAAAGTTCCAGAAGGGCGACTGAAGAGATAGCTCAGAGGTTTAGAAGTTTAGAGCACGTGCTGCTTTTGCAGAGGACCTGGGTTTGATTCCCAGCTCCCACATGTGAGCTCACGACTATCCCTAGCTCCAGTTGCAGAGGCTATGATACCCTTTTCTGACATCCTCGGGCACAGGCACACATGTCATATGGCATACATACATGCAGACAAAATACTTATACATATAAAACAAATCTGAAATAACTTACAAGACAGACCGTAGGAACCAAGCCAGTGTGAAAACATCAACTTGGATTAGTTGCCTATGAATGATGTCTGAGACAACACAGACTTTTTAAACGTGAATTTGGAATGAGAGACTTCATTATTGCTTATGGTACTCGTTTATTGTAAAGGGAGAAGAACTGCAGGTTGCCACGGTGTGTTTAATCACAGGAGAACAGTAGAGGACAGCAGGAGTGAGTGCTAAGTCTAAGCAACAAGCAATCAGAGATTTCATCTTGTCCAGGTCACTACAAACACCTTGACTTAACCGGATCGGGCGCACGTTTGCCCAACCACCTTATTTCCTACAAGAGACATTATGATCACCTTACCTTCTCCTATTAAAAATGTCCTTCAATGATTTTTTTTAAATTTAATGAAAGGAACCTTTCCAGATTATAAAAGGAATTAAATGTAGGTCATAAAATTCTTACTAAAGCATGGCAGCAAAACTGCGTGGGGTGATTTGTGACATAAATGAAGGGCTCAGCTGTGTTCCTCCAAAAGACTCCACAATTCATCCCTCCAATGGTGAGGAGTGAGCCCTGTTTAATGTCCCTCCACACTGTGCTCCACTACAGTCAGGAAGAGCCACCCGCTCTGCCTGCTCCACAACATCTGAAAAACCATCACAAGTTGAGTTCACTCTAGGGCAACCGCTCAATGCATCACTAGAGGCTGAAGGAAAGGCCCACCTTTTTTTTTTTTTTAAAAAAAAAAGATTTATTTATTTAATGTATGTGAATACACTGTAGCTGTCTTCAGACACACCAGAAGAGGGCATCAGATCCCATTACAGATGGTTGTGAGGTACCATGTGGTTGCTGGGAATTGAACTCAGGACCTCTGGAAGAACAGTCAGTGCTCTCAACCACTGAGCCATTTCTCCAGCCCAACCCACCTTTTTTTTTTTTTGAAGTATTTTTTTAAGGTTTATTTATTTTATGTGTATGAATACTTTGCCTGCATGTATGTACACGTAACATATGTGTGCCTAGAGGCCAGGAGATGGTCACATTACATCCTCTGACACTGGAGTTACAGATGGTTGTGTGGTACTGTGAGGGTGCGGGGACTGAACCCGGGTCCTCTGCAAGAGAAACAAAGGCTTTTTTTAACACTGCGGAGCCCTCTCTCCAGCCCCAACCTGTGGAGGCTACAGCTTACAGGATGCACTAGAGGAACAGAACTGTTAAACATGCAGGGTTTTTTCTTTAAAGGGAGGAAATGACACTGTTCACCTGGAAGGCTGGAGCAGTGCCATCTAACAACCTGGTGATCTTTTATTATTCTCTGGAGCTAGCCTTCAAAACATGAACCTTGCCTCCAAACCCTGAGCAATCCTCAGTCAACAGCACCCAACTTTTTGCTTATCTCCAATCCCTCCTCCCTTATCCCGAGCACTGTTTATCAGGCAATAGGACTCCTTCTTAGGGTTGAGGTTACAAACACATGGCTAAAGAGATGTAGCTATGCCTAAAGCATGCTGTGATCATGTGGAAACTTTTCTCCAAAGTTGTACTGTGTTAGAAACATAAACTGTTTGATCAGACTCCAGCGTATTTGACCTAGTATTGGCCAGTATTTGACCTAGTATTGGCTAAATCATGCTGACCTGAGTTTCATTTTTACCTCATGAGAGGACCCACACACCAATGCCAACCCACTGCCTTTCAGCAGTGTGAAATTTGTCTTCCAGAAATAATGTGTGGTAATGTTTAGTGTTCCTTTGGACATCACAATTCTATCCTTATCATGAGTATTTATTTGGATACTTGAAAATCTAAGCAATTGAACTTTCAGATTGGACTAATTCATACAAACTGCTGGGCATTCTAACATCTTAATATTTTCCTAAAAAAAAAAATTAAATTTTCTATCAAGTAAAATAACTGTAGTTATTTAACAGCAAAGCTCTTATGTCTTGCCAAAAACCCCAACCAACCAAACCAACCCCCCTCCAAAAAAAGGCACACTCCTTAACCCCTACATCATTATATAAACCAGTAGGTAGCCAAAAATAAGGACTAGGAAACTGAGCCAAACTCAGTGAGTAATCAGAGCCCACAAAGTCGATGGGCTGAAATGGTGAATTAATCTGTTTATCGGTTTTTAGGTAGAGTTTTGCCTTATAGCAGTAGGTGGCTTGGAATCTGTGATGACCTTCTTGCCTCAGTTCTTTGCCATAATCTAAGCAAATGATGTTGCTTTTTGGTTTGGTTTTCTGAGACAGGGTTTCTCTGTGTAGCCTTGGCTGTCCTGGAACTCCCCCTGTATATCAGACTGGCCTGGAACTCAGAAACCTGCCTGGCTTTACCTCCCAAGTGCTGGCATTAAAGGCATATTCCACTAAGCCAGGTGCAAATGTTTTTAATTTTCCTACAATCAAAAAATTTTGATTACATATCATCTGCTTTCCAATATATAAGGTGTGCTTAGTTTTTCTTCTTAAATTCTACATAGTTACCTAGGCAACACACTGGACAGCTGTTGATTCTATCTACTAAGATACTAAGTCCTTAAGGTCTGCTGCTGCTGCTGTTGTGAAGGCAGGGTCTAACTGATGTGGCCTTGGCTGGGCTGGAACTTAACTGGCATCAAACCTGGGTGACCTCACTAGTGGATCTTACTTCTGAAGCCCAGTGCTGGGATTACAGCCTTCAGTAACTAGCATGCATGGCTAAACAACAAAATACTTGTAGTAATTACCATACAATTAATTCTCTGATTAAACAAATATTAAGCTCTAAAACTGCTCCATAAATGACATCATGGAACAGGAAGTAATAAAATTATGTTTCTAGATAACAGATTCTAATGAAAAGCAAACCAAAATTCACAACTTAGAGAGAGGAAAATGTGTTAA